GCGCCCCCCCCTGCCACTGGGACCAGTAGCAGGGCTTGGAAAAACCTGCAGCCCCTTGCTCCCAGCTTGCTTCCCTGCAGGGAAAGTTGTCCTGCAGGCTCAGAAATGCCATGGCGGGGGGGGAAAACCATCCCTGCCCCACAGCCTTTTGCAGTGGGGGGGGTTATCCTGGGGATACACCGCAGGGAAAACCAGCCCAGGGATGCTCCTCTGCTGGCCAAACCTCCGGGGGGGCTTGGAAAAACCTGCAGCCCCTTGCTCCCAGCTTGCTTCCCTGCAGGGAAAGTTGTCCTGCAGGCTCAGAAATGCCATGGCGGGGGGGGAAAACCATCCCTGCCCCACAGCCTTTTGCAGTGGGGGGGGTTATCCTGGGGATACACCGCAGGGAAAACCAGCCCAGGGATGCTCCTCTGCTGGCCAAACCTCCGGGGAGGGTTTGTTTAGCTCCAGCAGCTATAGCAACGAACCCTGCTGCCTGCAGCAGCTCTGCTCGCCCCATCGCCCGCGTGCCTGCCCGAGCCATGGAGGTGGGGGCAGTGGGGGACCCCCATGGGGTCTGGGGGGACACCCCAGCAGGGACATATGTCATCCCACACGGGGTAAGCCCCGGAGAGCAGCTCTGTCTCTGGATTTATGGGATTAATCAGGGCTCATGGGGGTAGGGTGGGGAAAATGGGATGGGGTGGGAGGAGAGAGGGGATGGGGTCGGGGTTTCGGGTGGGCACTGGGTGGGCAAAAGGGTGGGCACTGGGTGGGCAGCAAAGCTGCTCTTTGCAAAATGCCTCCCGGCTCCCTGCAGACCCCGGGGCCCCAGGGAAGGTGATTTCTGCATGGGGACACGTCCCCAGGGGTTGGGACTTGCCAGACATGCAATTCATCCAGGCTTGCAAGGCTGCACCCCTGGGTAGAGAGGGGTCAGTGGAAGCCACCCCTTCCTCTGAGGCTCTCATCCCTGCTTCCCCCGGGGCCAACGTTGCTCTCCTCCCTGCCACCAGCTCCTCTCCCCTCTCCTCCCCAGCTGCCGCACTAAATTAAAGGGCACTAAATTAAAGCAAGAGTGGGAGATCCCTGAGGTTTTCCTTCCCCTCCTGCCTTTCAGCTCCGACCTGGGAGATCTGGTGGGGCCATGCCGGTGCCCCAGCAGCCAGTGATGATCCTTCAGCAGCTTCCCAGGACGGTGGCTGCCCTGGCCCCCGCCGCCGGACCCCCGCACATCCGAGGAGGGGCGTGACGGGAGACATTGTAGAGGTCAGCGTTAAAACCAGCTTAACTTCATCCTCTTCTTTTTTTTCCAGCCTTTTCAGTATGAGGGACAGGCAGGGAGGTTGCACCCCCCCTCTGCAGCCTCACAGGGCTGACCACACCATGCTTTGATGGCTGCTTTGCCCCATGAGATGCAATTTTTGGTGGTTTAACCAACCTTGAAGTCTGTGCTGGTTTTGGCCACGCCAGGATGCTCCCAGGGAATGGTTTTGGGCTGGTTTTTTTTGAAATCCACCTCTCTTTGTTCTCCAAAACCCCATTTCATGTGGGTGTAGAGAGCATCATCAGGGAAAGCCAGCGTGATATGGGCTCCTTGGCCATGCTAGGTGGGACTGGAGGGAGCCACGTGCCAGCCCCGCTGGGGGGATGCTGCAGGCAGGAGCAAAGACCAACCGTCTATAGGGGCTTCACCCAACCTTGTGCAACCCAGGATTCAGCGGTCTGGGCTGGGGGAGCAGACAGCAGAGGTGGTGGTGGGGGTTTGTGGTCCCCAGGATGTACCGTGAGCGAAGCTGTGCAGCCTTGTGGGGAGCGGGGGAAGGTTGAGCTGTCTTTAAAAATACATGGAGGACAGGGCACGCTCAAAATTGGTGTGGGAAGAAAACAGAGACCCCAGCCTGGCCCCTCGCGGCCCTGCAGTGGGGGGTTGGCTGCCTTTCCAGTGGGATGGGTGGGATCCATTAAGAGTCACCAGCCCTTCGCGTGCTTTCTCCTCCCGGTTCAATGCCTGGCTGCTGGCCCGCTCCCTCCTCGTGGCTCCGGCTCCGGCCACCTCCCGGGCTGTGCTGTAACGCTCCTCGCTGGAGGGTCGGCTGCCTCATGGGTGCCCTGGGAGCCCGTCCCTGCAGCTGTGAAAGCATTTTGGGATCTGGCATGTGGGACACGGGTATGCCCAAACCCCTTTTCACCCATGGCTCCGACTAAGGGGGGGTTCACGGGTCTCACGCACAAAGCCAGCGGGATCTTGGAGGCAGCCCCTCCGGCAGGTTTACAGGTATTTTGCAGGGGAACTTCACGCCCGCGGCAAATGGGGATGTTTTAATGGGGATGCAGAGCCAGATGCTGCGTTTCCCCTGCAGCCGCATTGCCCTCAGCAGCCGCACCGCGCCTTGGGCATCCAGCCCAGGGGACTAAAAATTCCCCTGCAGCCGCATTGCCCTCAGCAGCTGCACCGCGCCTTGGGCATCCAGCCAAGGGGACTGGGACGCTAACCTATACGTGCACGGCCGCTCCGGGTCCCAGCTCCTCGTGCGGAGCCCAGGCAAGGCTCCCCAGAGCATCCCCAGCCTGCTCCTCTCCTGGACCCAGCTCTGTAGGTGCTTGCTCCTGGGAATGGAGATGGGATCAACCCCCATGGTCCAGCCCCAGCTCCTGCCTCTGTGGGGGGTTTTCTGAGCTCCCCCGTGCGTGACGTGGTGCAAAGTGGAGCTGACCCTGGCGTGCTCCCCATGCGGTGCCACCCCCAGGACACCGGCTCTGCCGTCGGGTGCCAAGGCAGAGGCTTGCCAAGCAAACTGAGCGCTGCCAGGACCAGAGCAATTCTCCTCCGAATGGGCGGAAAGTCTGATGCCTCCAGCACCACTAATCACCTTTTGTTAGCAGCCCTCAGCAAGCCAGACCAGATGTTTAATCACATTTGCAAATAAGAAAAGGCTGAAATATGGCTATTTTAAAGCTTTATCCAAGCAAAATAATTTTTAAGTGCCACATGGGCCTTCCAAATTGGGGTGGGGGGAGTTTGGCTTAGCTCCCACTGCTTGGGCACAGGGACAAGGCTTGGTGCCGCCGCATCCCAGGCACTCATCCCATGGCCATGTTTCTCGTGCCCTTGCTCTGATCTCTCTCTGACGCAGAGCCCCTTACTGTCCGGCAGATTTAATTGAGTTGATGATGATTCAGAACTCCCAAATGCACCAGGTGGTGATGAACAGCCTGGCTGTGTCGGCACTGACGTCCTTCGGGTTCGGGCCGTCCCCAGCTGCTGCCCAGGTAAGGGTCAGGGATGCCAGATGGGCAAAGGGACCATAGGACCAAAGAGGACCAAAGAGGTGGGCAAAGGGACCTTTCCAGAGCTGCTCAGGAGAGCGGGATGCCTGAGCCCCACTTCAGCACAGCATGAGACCCCTCCAGGCGCAGAAGCTGGGTGGTCTCAGCCTGTCTCAGTCCAGGCTCTGCAGCCCCTTGGGGTTTTGGGTCTCTTTGTGCTTGTTTCACCCCCAGCTCTGTCAGCACAGATCACATCCAGGCTGCTCAGAAGCGATTTAGCCCAGCTGGGAAGAGCCAGGACCCTCCCTGCGTGCTGCAGCGCTGGGCTGCGGGCAGCCGAGCAGCGAGGCTGCGCACTATTCATTAGGCAGGATGGCTCTGCAAGGGCTTTCATTTAAAAGTCCATCTCGAACCAAAATCATATTAAACATTTCATCTCTGTGGGGGGAAACAAATGCTGCTTTCTCGGCGGGGGCGAGAGCTGGGCTGCGGGCAGCTGCCTTGCTCGCTGCCAGCTGGCATCCCTAGGCATGCACCCTCCCGTGCTGCCCGCCCAGCGCCCACCAGTTCACCGCGCTGGCCAAGACTGGACCCTGCCTGTCACATCTCAGCGGCCGGATCAAACGGGCTCTTCCCAGCAGCATTTTGAGGTCCCATCTGTGGGGCTGCCACCTCCCCGTGTCCCCAGCAGCCGGGTTCCCACGCTGGCTGACCGCGGGGCTTTGTGTGGGATCGAGCCCACTCAGCTGGACCCTGGGAGAGCTGTGCCATGCCGGCGGCATCACAGCCAAGGGCAGCTCCGTGGGAATTCTCTCGCTGGTGCTTTTGGGAGCAGTGCCCCAGGGAGATGGCTGATGAAAGGGGCCCGGCACAGCCCTGCCTTTTGTTCCTCTCTGCAGGCGATGGCGGTGCCTTTCCAGACCGGAGAGGAAGAGGAGGCTGTGGTTTTCCACCATCACTACATGCCCTACCCCAGTCCTGCTCCTATCCTGGCGTGGCCGGTCCCAGCACGGGATGAGGGGCCAGCGGCCATGCGGTACCTGGGCACAGGCTCATTAGCCGAGGATGGGGAGATGTGAGTAACGAGAGTGCTGCTTTGTGCCACCCGGCATGGGGCTGCGTGCGTTTCCCTGTGACCCCTGGTGTAACAGGACTTCCAGCCCAAGCTGGAACACAAGGGGCAACACTAGGCCAGCACTTACTCCTGTCCTTGCTCCTTTCCAGCAGTGCGGTGCCCCCCCCTCCACCCCCCAGCGCCACAGGGACCGTGGGAGCCAACGTCCCACCAGCATCAGGTAAGAACACATTCTCCCTGTGTCCCTCAACGAGGGACATCCTGCCCTTAAGCGTGCATCAACCTGGCAGCCCCTGGTCAAAGGCTGAGCCCTCCCTGTTCCCTCCATCCATTGGATCTTGGGGGTGGCCCTTGCACATCCTCCAGGTCCCCTTTTCTCTCCGCAGAATACTACGACGTGATGGAGGAGAGGCCGTGAGCTCCATGCTTCCCAGGGTGGTTTCTCCCGCACGTCCCAGCCCTCGACCCCGGAAGATCCTGCAGGTGCTGAGCAGGGGTGC